TCTAGCCGAGCGGTATATTGCAGCTTATATTTACCAGGGTTACAGAGCTACAGAGAAGTTCTCTCTAGCCGAGTGGTATGTTGCAGCTTATATTTACCAGGGTTACAGAGCTAAAGAGAAGTTCTCTCTAGCCGAGCGAATATTGTGGCTAGTATTTACCATGGTTACAGAGCTTAAGAGAAGTTCTCCCTAGTCGAGTGGTATATTGTGGCTAGTATTTACCATGGTTACAGAGCTAAAGAGAAGTTCTCTCTAGCCCAGTGGTATATTGTGGCTAGTATTTACCAGGGTTACAGAGCTAAAGACAAGTTCTCTCTAGCCGAGTGGTATATTGTGGCTAGTATTTACCAGGGTTACAGAGCTGTAGAGAAGTTCTCTCTAACTGAGTGGTATATTGTGGCTAGTATTTACCAGGGTTACAGAGCTGTAGAGAAGTTCTCTCTAACTGAGTGGTATATTGTGGCTAGTATTTACCATGGTTACAGAGTTACAGAGATGTTATGTCTAGCCGAGTGGTATATTATGGCTAATATTTACCATGGTTACAGAGCTAAAGAGAAGTTATCTCTAGCCAAGTGGTATATTGTGGCTAATATTTACCAGGGTTACAGAGCTAAAGACAAGTTCTCTCTAGCCGAGCGGTATATTGCAGCTTATATTTACCAGGGTTACAGAGCTAAAGAGAAGTTCTCTCTAGCCGAGCGGTATATTGCAGCTTATATTTACCAGGGTTACAGAGCTAAAGAGAAGTTCTCTCTAGCCGAGCGGTATATTGCAGCTTATATTTACCAGGGTTACAGAGCTACAGAGAAGTTCTCTCTAGCCGAGCGGTATGTTGCAGCTTATATTTACCAGGGTTACAGAGCTACAGAGAAGTTCTCTCTAGTCGAGTGGTATATTGCGGCTTATATTTACCAGGGTTACACTATAACTTCAATTCATAGACACAGATGAGCTCTTTTTATAGGAAATGAGGCTGTAAAATCACTTTTTTTTCATGGAGGTCAATTTTTTTTTGTTTTCTAAAGACATACAGTACTGTTAGCACTTGATTTCATCAAATAATGAAATCTGTGAGTACACTGTAATAATCCACATCTACTTTTATCCATTTATGATTTCATGGGCATATCAATTGGTGGATTTAGAGATAGGGTTTGGCTCATTATCAAGCAAATTAAAAATTAAAAATAATAAACAGCAAGTTTCAATAACAGGCTAACTGAAATGGAAAGGGACTCAGAAGCATTAATTGCCATCTTTTCTGTTGGTGTTAATAAGACAACAAGGCACTTATAAAACTGAACAAATGTGCAAAGTACCCATTACATACATAAATTTTCTTTCTTTCTTTTTTGTTTTTTTCTAAAATTTAGTCTAGTGGCTTTATTTCATTAAATTTTATTTGACTCCCATAATATATTAATTTTTAATTTCAATGATTTAGAAATCATTCTGGATCCAAAATGAAATTCTATCTTGTATCACATCTTTTTAATAAATTAGAATAAAGCTGTAATTGTTAAATATAGACTTATAATGACAATTATCAATTAATGCTGACAGTAGGTTTTACCTAAGTTAGTCATAGATAATTGTATGACGTTGAAAGTTTCATATTCATACATAATTGATATTTCATCTCAAACTATTAACAAGTATTATGATATGTTGCTGGAAGTATTAAATCTTCAGTGTACGAGTGAAATTACCTAGTTTAGTCTCTGGTAATTTAGTTTGGAAAATAAGATAATTATTTCATAAATTCTTATATAAGTGTAAAATATTACTGAAATGAAAGAGTTACTTCCCTTCAACTTGCCAGTGAGACAGCCATGTGGAAATTTTCTGACGAAGAAATGTTGATTTAGCAAAACTCAACCTAAATGCCCCAGATTGTAAAATATTTCTGTATCACAATATCTACACAGCATGGTTATCACAGAGTTGTTCTCCTTTGGTAATAAGCTAACACAACAATAATACACAGCAGTTGTATATATACTTTAATTGGCATGAAAAACTTGTTTACAATAGCATAAATACTAAAATTAATTAATCCATTATCTCCAATACTTCCTAAATCACTAATTTATTCATTATTACCAATAATTAATGAAAATATTAAAAAATAACAGCTACACTCTCTAAGAAAAAAAAAATGAAATATGACTGGCATGTAATATAAAATTATAAATTCCTCATGTAAATATAGAAATCTTTCATGCTTCATTTCAATTTGTTATCTTTTAAGAAATATCCTGATAAAAACACATTCCACTGTATTTAACTTATTTAAGTGTTATATTAAAAAGACATACAATACAAATTAAACTGATAATGTTATCCTATTTCAAGATGTGTATGATGTGATGGAATATGACAATATAAATAAATAAAATATTTTGTAATTAAATTACAAAATGACATTACAAATTTGATAATTTAATATATATATTATTTGAATTTGCAAACAAATAATTCATATTTTTTTGAAGCAGACACTCACAATTTTTGGTATAAACATTTAAAGGCACAATATCAGAAAATTTAGAATATACTGTACACTGACAAAATGCTAATTGCATGTCTTAAATGAAGATTAGAATCATCACAAAAACAACATTCTAATTTTGGAAATTCTGTAAAATTCTTTTAAATACATGTATGTCTGCTCATAAAAACCAATAACACCACATAAGCTGTGTACATTACATACAAAGCAAAAACGCCAAATCTACAACCTTCGAACAAGGGGAATAACTCTGTCAAGCTTATTCACACAGAAACACTCTCACTTTACTACATAAGCTAATTCTGAAAAAAAGTATCCAGATCTTAAATGTCACCTTATTTATCTTAATAAAGAATTGTTGACGTTGAGATATTTCAGACAGTACATGGGGTGGATGTTTTATTCTTTATCAATATCATAAGAATTTTGAAGTTCAGGTAAAGAGTAATGAACAGTCAGGTAATAGATAGACTTACTACTTATACCATTACTAGAAACTTTTATTCATGTCTGTAGAAAACAGAAAAAAGAAATCATATTTCATCGTATATAAATTTGTTACACATTTTGCATATAACAGTTGTTCAAAATTGGAGTATATGAAAAATTAAATTAAAGAAAATGTGGTAGAAATAATGTTAAGACTTATCCAGTATAATTTCTTTATTAAACTCATATTGCTAACAGAACTTTTTGAGTATTTAAGATATATATTTAAAATAAAATAGTAATGCAGTGTCTTGTACAAAGGGAAGTAACCCAGGCAGGACTGATTTCATACAGAAAAATTCTTAATTTTTGAATGGAATTTTTTTGGGTTAATTGGTGGAAGTATAAATCAAAGAATTAGTCTACAAAACAATAACGTACAAAAGCTGACATTAGAGTACAAGTGGAATTTCAGAGAAAGATTTATCCATAAAGTCAAGTGCCAGTGAATAATCATGTATATTATTGAAAACCATAAAATATTAGTCCAATGAAAATATCGGATTTAACAGTATCTTGAACTAAAAATTAAAGATAAAATATTTCCAATTTAAAAGTGTTAATTCAGTTTTATAACCCCAACAATGAAATAGATAATAAAGTATTGTATACAACTGATCTGAGAATGGTTAAAGGCTTCTATAAATAACTAAAACAAAGCTTACTGTTTATGAATTAAACTCTCAACACAGATAGTCTACCGTTATTTAGTGTGAATACCATATTTTTGTATAACAGCAAGAAGTAGTGTTTCATTGTTGAAGATACGGGAGTTACCTGTTTAACTCATACAAACAACAGAAAGCAATGACCATGACCATGACTTCAGAACGTGAAGTAGATATTAAAAGTATTATTGAAATGTTTTTTATTTCCAGGAGTCCAATCCTGATATCAAAACACGAAGTTATGTTTCTTCTTTTATACTGCAAAATCAGTATTTTAGTGGTGCTGAAATTCTAAGGTTTTCCAAACATATACATTTGTGTTGGTGCTTGATGTTGTGGATAATGACAAAATTCACTAAAATCTATGTCAGCTTTTATTGGTTGATCATTTCGGTGGACATATAAATTTGTGGATTTAGAGTGTCTACAAATTAAATGAAAATAGATCTCCCACAAAAATTAATCATTATATGGTATGCAGATTTTTGCCCCCTCATGAATGTAAGTAACCATGCTGACTTATACGGAAGGACTGGAAAAGTTTATACAATAATTGTAGTTTCTGTGTCAAATATGTATGGTAACTATTCCAGGGTGAAAAAATCTACAAAATACAACACGAACATCACTTCATCAGCTTTGATACTGTATGTAGAATTTACCCAAAGAATTGAAATTAAAAATTTATCTAAATTAAGATTTCTTTCTAGATACATCCACATTAGAGTTAACATGAATATAATTCTTTATAATTTAGTACAATGAAATGAATAAAAGATGATGAAATCACTTAGCTGTGTTACTTTATGTGTTAACAGTATCAGCAAAGTTATTATTTAAAGACAACCTAAAGAAAAAGATAGAATAACAAGAGAAAAGTGTCAAACTATATCCCACAAACACTCCTGTAATCCCTGTGACAAATTACCAACCAATGGCAGCTAAGACGGTTTCATTTCACACCACTAATCAAAAGATAACAGGAGATTTTTTATATAAAGAATGAGAAATGTAGAGTGAGTTGATGTAAAACTGTGTATGATAACTTGGCTGGGATGAGAGAATCTCCTGGATACTTGCCACAGACTGTAAAACAGTCTCCCTCCAAACCAAGCTAGGATTGCTGTATCTGGAGTATAGGTCCCCACCCTAACACAAACCAGGAATATATCAGACCCCCAAACACTCCTGCAATGACTTAAACATAACAGAGATAAATAAAACCTTATGTACACTCAGTACTTTATTTGTTTATCTATTTTTTGTTAACAATTCATGATGTTTACTGGACAAAAGAAAGGTAGATGAAGAATCTAGTAGACTTTACTTTCACAATTTCACGACAAAACACTTATCTACATTTCCTGATGTTTACTTCAATGAACCTAAGCCTCCAAACTTTTATTTTTTCTTACAATTCTTTGTTTACTGAAACAAAGCAGAGATGGAAAAGCTCACATAAAGATTTTCTTAATTTACAAACACCAGCGAAGGATGTTTTCATCAAGTGAAAGGATGAATGTTTAACGAGTTAAACGTTTACCATCATCAACAAACACCACAGCTTTCTGGGGCAGTCTCGAGCTTTACATCATATGCTAGAGTGGTTGTCAATCTCATTTTATATGGAAAAAAAAACAGCACATCATGTAAGTTTCCTGTTGTCACTCACTGACAAAGCTTCTCCTAGCAATTTTAATTGACAATCGATAATTTTACTTAAAAAATATCTGGCTTTAAAGTTGATCCTAAACACCATCATTACAATTTACCATTCTAACTCCTTACACAAGATCAAAATCCACATCACACAGCTTTCCTGAAAGACTTTCTTTCGTAAGATAATTCTACACAGTAGTAAGCTTATATGTACATGAGCACTACTTCAGTTTTCACACCTTAAAACAACATTTCATTTTTATATTACTACTATAATCGTTTCATCACACAAAAAAGTCATATTAATTAGAGAAGAAAAGAATTGGGGTTCATAAAACAAAAACAAAATTTTTTTAAAAATCATCATTAAAATATATCAAACATACATGTGGTTCATAAATTGAGAATTACACAGAAACTCGGACTAGAGTGATCAAGTATTGAAACTTCTGTAATAAGTGCAGTGTTTTAAATAATTTCAAATCTCTGAAATCTATATAATATGTCTAGGTGTTAGTTTACATTATTTCTGACATTCTATCAACTTTTTTATGTTAGTCTGGAGTCGATAAACAGTTACGCGACGCCAGACAGATGTAAAAAGTGTCAATAGATAGGAAGAATACTTGAGACTAATCTAAGGGAGGTTACTCTTTACAATTTTAATCCTACCAATTCTATTAAGAGTGCTTTGAAGGGTGTGCGATGCATAGCTTTTTTCATATACTTTAATGAATTTAAAATTCCTGGCATCAAAAACCTCTAATTAACCCAACACGAATTTAATCAGTTTTTTCTCAAATTCAATTATGTCATTCAAAAACACATAAACCATATTTTATACTATGACTTTGTGAAGTAGAGATCTTTCACCAATTTTTGCTTTTTTGATAAATAGACACACCAAGTTGTAAATCCAATGATTTTGTTGCTTTTGTTGTCTACAACCAAAACTTCCAAAATCTACGTAAGGATAAAAGTTAGGGAGTGGAAAAACACCAAGCTACATATATATCTGATATGTAAAAGCACCATGGTAAAATCACCGGAAAAAATTCTTATCATTGATATATACCAATATATATCTTTGCTTAAAGACATTCCAAATTGAATTTTCAAAACATATCTGCTTATACACATTTCTTGTGACATTTTGTTGGGTTTTGATTTTGTTTTTTTTTTTAATTTTGACGTTCTTTCCTTTGTCCTCAGACAGAAGTATATGAAAATCTTTGTGGCTACTGAGAACTATTTAAATTCAGATCAAGACTATCCAAATTTATAATTGACTTTGTTTCCAGAATCATTAATTGTGAAATCATTACAAATCAAAGTTATTTAACTTATTAGGATAGATGATACCATTTTGTGTTTGAGCTGTTCCTAGTAACAATTCTAAACACTATGTAACATATAACACAGTAGCATGTCTGTATGATAACCTTGTCCTGATGAAGAGCACCATTAAAAACAAAAATAAAAAAACTGTTTTCAATACATGTCAATGAAACTCATGTTATTTTACACATATACTAAAGTATACAGATATATCAACATATTTGACAAATGACACGTAAATGTCAAAAAACGTCGAAACAAAAATATCCACACTGCAACAGTGGTGTTTTATAAACACAGTACTGCCATATGTGATGAAACAGAATACTTGTAAATATAACACATAATGACTTCTACTACCCAATAATACAACACTGAAACATGAACTCCTAAAGATCTATAAAGCCAACAGAATTGGGAATTTTTACATTGTTTTCTCAAACTATCCAAATCCCCTATAACCATAAAACTTGTGGATCAATATATTCCTAGAATCACCAAATTATTACGGTCTGTCCACAAACTCATACATTTATAAATCTGGCAATTTGTTTTCTTTATCAATGTTAAAATAAGAAACAGCAAGGAACAAATTTGCTGTTAAAAACTGTTGTTTGTTGTGTAAGAACACTATTTTTTCGCTCAAAAGTGTTAATTTCAAAGAAGAAATCTAGCTGGAAGCCATTATATGATCTTCATCATTCTATCATTGATAAACTAACCCTTCTAGGATATAAATTGATGGCTGTACTATAATTTGCTCTGCGTAATGAATACTTCTTAAACAAGGGAAAAATAAAAAATGTTTCCACAGTTGAAAATATAGGTTTTACATTATGCACCAAGTATATGAGTATTCTTTATGCAAGACACGAAATTTTGAAATATTTAAAAAGTAAACACAAAATAGAGATGTTCTAATATGAGAATTGTTAAGAATCTGAAATCTGAACTCTTACAGACCAAAAAAGATTTTCAGTATAGTAGGATAAATACACTGTAGATTCAGCTGTTGTTTCATGACAACTCTCTCAGACTTTTGGAAAATTGTTTCTCATAAATTTATCAATGCGCCAAATCCATCACTTTCACAAGATTCTTGGCAAAGTAAAAAGTCAGTAATTCAGTTACAATCCTGACCAATCCAATTAACACAGGTAATCCTCCACACACAAATATCTGTCTTCAAATACAGATCAATTTCTTGTCACCTTTAAGGTGAGATTCAATTTCGAAACAATTCTGTTGAATTTGTTTATAAAACCTATCACTAAAGACTTGTCATCTATCGCAGACATTTAATCCAAAGAATAGGATATTCATTTTCCACTGAATATCAACATTAAAATCACTTTTTTTGTACACACAGAAATTTACTTTTAGCAAGTCATTGTAAATTATTACTACAAAATTATCACTTTCCTTGCTGAATATCAGCAACTTTGCCGAAAATAGATTCCACTTACTCTGTAACTTGGGTTGGCGTACAATGAGAATCTTCATTCTGAGAATGGTCACCATTAGCTAGAGTTTTTCCCACCACACTCTTAACACTTCCTTCAATTGGTTTATCAACATCACCGGCAGTCTGTTCCTCCTTGCTAGGAGATTCCGTTTTAACTTCCCCTATCTCTCCATCAAGTTCAACTTCCTCATCCAAATTATTTTCAACTTCTCCATCACTTTCTATGGAGTTGCATTCTGGGAAATCCTCCTTTGGGACTTTCTCTCCATTAGGAATAACTTGAGTTTTTATATCATTATTATCACACATGTCTTTAGAGACATCTAAACCTTCAGCCTCTTGTGACTGAGGGACTGTGGATTCCAAAGGAATATCTACCTCTGGAGATGTCTGAGCTTCCTGTGGTTCATCTGGTAAGGAACCTTTAGGATCAACTGAAGACCCTGCATCCTCTTCCACTACCTCAGGTGACACTTCTTGTGATGGAGGAGGTGGGGTTGGAAGAGTGTCTGATAACTCTGATGGACCTGCTGATTCACTCTCATGTGGAGAAACAGAATCTACAACTTCCCCAGTTTGTTCTTCAGGTTTTTTATCTTCTGGTGAAGGTGGTGGGGGAGGAAGAGCATCAGTAGCTTCCTCTGTTCCTTCCTCTGTCTCCTGTGGAGGAGATGGAGGTGGAGGAGGAAGAGAATCAACAACTGCCTCTTTAGCAGTCTCTGGTTCTTTGTCCTTGTCATTTGTCTCGGAAGCTGATTCCATCTCTTGTGGAGGTGAAGGAGGAGGAGGTGGCAAAGAATCTACTGAAGATTCACTGACCTCTTCGGTTGTTTCTTTTTTTTCATTTTGCTCCGTCTGTAAATCCTCTTTCTGATGAGCAGCATCTACAGAAGTTTCAACAACCTCTTGTTTTGTTTCTGCATCCTCCTCCTCCTCTTTTTCTTCAGTCTCTGGATTGTCAGTTTCTGCTTCTGTGTTTTCTACTTCTTTAGTTTCCTCATTTGCTGTTTCAGTTGTTGGGGCTTGTTTAATATCCTCTTGTGGCTTTTCATTCACTTCCTCACATATATTTTCTTCAGTTTCAGGTGCTGGAGGTGAAGGCAAAGCATCAACTGATGATTCACATGTTTCATCTTTGGCATCAACAGATGATCCAGCATCAGTCTCACTTTGTGATATTTCAGATTGAATATCCTCTGTTTGTACCCCTTCCGGATTGGTTACAACATCTTCACTGTTAACTGTATCAGTAGCAACTGGTGGGGCATCAACAGATGAGCCAATTTCTTCAGTTTCTTTTGTCTTAGTTTCTGGCTCCTCTTGTGGAATCTGTTCAGTTTCCACAACTTCTGTTGAGTGTACAGTCTCAGCAATCTCTTTCTCAGTGTCCTCAACATCTGTAGTAACAGGTTCTACAGAAGGTTGCTGATTGTCAGTTTCTGGAGTGTCTTCAGCAGCTTCTACCTTGACTTCCTCTACTGTTGTTTCTATAAGTTGTGCGGATTCCTCAGCAACAGGTTCAGCATTGCTTTCATGTGTTGTCTCTTCTGTTCTTTCCACTTCAGCATCTATTTTCTGATCCTGTGATACAACTTCTTGCTGTTCAGCACATGGGTTTTCTTCTTCCTGTGGAGCTGCAACTGGTGTTTGTTGTTCATCTGCAGAAACTGGTTCTTGTTGCTCTTCTGAAGACTCAACTGATTCTTGTTTCTCCTCTTCAGCTACAACTGGCTTTTGGTCCTCTACAGGGACAACCTCTTCTTGTTGTCCCTCCGCAGCATCAACTGGTTCTTGCTGTTCCTCTGCAGCAACGACTGCCTTCTTTTGTTCCTCTGCAGCAACAACTGCCTCCTTTTGTTCCTCTGCAGCAACGACTGCCTCCTTTTGTTCCTCTGCAGCAACGACTGCCTCCTTTTGTTCCTCTTCAGCAACTACAGGTTCTTGCTGTTCCTCTGCAGCAACAGCTGCTTCTTGTTGTTCATCTGCAGTAACAACTACCTCCTTTTGTTCCTCTGCAGCAACAACTGGTTCTTGCTGTTCCTCTGCAGTAACAACTGCTTCTTGGGTTTCATCTGCAGTAACAACTGCCTCCTTTTGTTCCTCTGCAGCAACAACTGCTTCTTGTTGTTCCTCTGCAGTAACAACTGCCTCCTTTTGTTCCTCTGCAGCAACAACTGGTTCTTGCTGTTCCTCTGCAGCAACAACTGCTTCTTGTTGTTCCTCTGCAGTAACAACTGTTTCTTTTTGTTCTTCTGCAGCAACAACTGTTTCTTGCTGTTCCTCTGCAGTAACAACTGTTTCTTGTAGTTCCTCTGCATTGCCCACTGGTTCTTCTTGTTCCTTTACAGCAACAACTGGTGTCTGCTCCTGCTGTTCTTGTGGAGCTACATCTGATGTTTGTTGTTTGTCAGTCGTGACAACTGCTTCAGGTTGATCCTCTGTAGTGATATCTGGCTCTTGTTGTTTATCTTGTTGCTCTAACATCTCCACTTGCTGCTCTGCCAAAGGTTCCTTTTCAGAAGATTCCTTTGGTGTACTGTCGTCTGTTTTTTCACTCACTGCTGGCACAATTGGAATGGTGTCATTATTATCAACTTTTTGATCTTGTGAACTTTCAGCTACAGGAGCTGTTGTTGTACTCTCTGACCCTGCTTCCCCTACATTTTCTTTCTGGCTCTCAGTTTCTACAATATTTGAAGTATTTGTATTTTCTGAAGCTTCTGAATTTTTCACCTCAGCCTGACTTACATCCTCCTTAGCTGTACTCTCTTGAGTATTGTCCTCAACTTTAGCAACATCCTCTTCGGGATTTTTTACCTGAATTGAGGGTGTTTGTCCATCAGTAACTGTGGTATCAGATTCCTTCCCTTCCTGTCCCTCACTATTTACCTCCTGTCCATTTTCATTTGAAGTTTCTGTAACTTTATTTGTCTCCAGGTCTTGTTTAGAGCCATTTTTGTCCTTTTTGTTTTTAATGGGTTTTCCTTCCTTTTTGGCCTCTGCCTTGGCCACTTTCTGTGCTCCTAATGTACATCCCATGTTTTATCACAATTTTAGAGTTAATTTTCAGATAGCTGTGATCCAAATAGAGGCACACAGTCAATTGATAAACCAAGGATGTATACCATGTATTAGATAGTGATGTAGTCGATATAGATTAAAGCTCTCAACCCAATATATAAATTTTGTTCATACAGTTATCTCTCAATACAATCAGATACATGAAGCATTTAAAAATGCAATATTCAGAACAGTTTCCAGGTTCAGTTAGGAATTCACATCATAAAGAAAACACACATTCCTCAGCGAAAAAAGTACGAAATACTGTACCAACCGCAATGTAGTCAGAATTCAAATCCTTCACAACCGAATCCTGTGTAAAGTTTTGTCTCCACAAGTACACTGCTTCTTGTAATTCTGTTTTCTTTAACGAAACGTCTGCAGTAATACTGTGTAATTGCTAGCTGTGAGTATTACTGTTTAACAGACAGAGTAGCTTAGCTTGTCACAGCACATATGTTGTCTGTCTGTAACACTTTGGTAGACTGCGGTGTAGGTCGGTGATGCTGGTGTATACACTAATACTCTGACTTGGCGGGTAAAAAAACCAGCACATGTATAATATACACCTAGTGAAATATTTCTCCCATCCTTCATAGAGAATCCATTTGATGGTAGACGAGATTTGAATGTTACCTCACTTCAGAATCCCATCCACTGTAGTAAATATTTTATAATGACCATGTCTTAGAATCTTAACAATAACCTCATCGCTTTTCTATTCAGACAATCTATAAATACTATCCTAATAAATATCAAAAATGAATTTTTCACAAATCATTGTACATCAATTCTATTGAATCATTATCTAGTCCATTTAACTAGAATCTAAATGAATTAACAAAATTTTTGAATTCACAAATGGAAATTTAGAAAAAATTATTCTTTAAAAAAAATCTTCTCAGCGGAAGAAAAGAAGTATCTGTTTTAAACTGGGATTCATTCATAGAATGTTTATAAACAATCTATTATTTTATTTAGTTTGAAGACACCGACATGAAAATAAATAAATAAATGACCTGTTGTCTCTTGGTTGAATAAGAATTCTGCGTCAGTATTTAGGTTGTATTGAACTGATTTCTAAGACAGAATTTAGTTATAAAACTAGACATGCATTTTCTACAGCCAAACCAACATCGTTCCTTCATCTATTACATGTGCAGCACGTGTAAACCCACCACTGTCTACGAGATAGTATCATCAAAACTTATCACACACAAGTTTTTTTGTTGAAAATTTTAACTTTCTCAAAGGAAGTGTATTTTTTTTCTATAATCCTATTTCCTGATCAGTACGAGTCTGTATCAAAGAGAAATAGTTTTTTTGCACCTATTACTCAGTGAGGGACGCTGTTAAGCAGAAGAACTATAACAGTTAAGGGAGATTTCCATCCATCACCACACTCTTGGTATAATATTATGACAGAAACGTGAATCATTCTGAATCACTCTTGACGTGCATTCAACGTGCATCCAATGTCGCGGAATGTGATACAGTACGTAAGAATCCAGAAAACTGCGGACTGGAAGGATAGGGAAAGGGGGCCGCAGGATGTAGGTGCGTGGACTCTTTATCAATAGACAAATGTTTTTCACACATGGTTTTATTTATTGCAGTACCAGACTTGCATCAATCTTCAAGAAACATACACTAACTTGGTACCAAACACTTCATACCATGAGAGTCTCACCATAATTAAGACCTATTTTTATTGGCAGGTGACAGAAGGTTACTTAGTGATTTAAGGAGGTATGTGCTCTTAATAGCTAGTATGTACCTTCATTTTAAAAGAGTTTTACAATTTCTACCATTACAATTCTCGAAAACAAGGAATATGATCTTTTCCAATTATGATAATTATATGAGCGTACTTCATCTGGATTGTATGCACTAATTAATAATCAACAATCTTCTTGATTTCAAAAATTATTTGCGTCAATGTTGTTTATCTTTTTTTAACAATGGTGGAAATACTGAATACTACAAAAGCTCATGTTTTTTGTATGTAATATGATATATATAGAAATGTACATTTTGTTATAGAAATGAACTTGTTTACACAGAGTCTAAAACAAATACAACAATAAAGCCTTGTCATTTCAGATAATTTCCTTTCAATTTGTTGATGGGCTCTATGTTAACATAACACAAGAAAGTGAAAAGAACATGAATATATTACTGATAGGTTCATTTTTTCATTTCATTTTCATTTAAACATATAGAAAAATTCTACCAGAAGAAAAAGAAAAAAATCTACAAAGTTTTTTTTTTTTTACATTAGGAACTGTTCCAATTGCTGGATGAAAACAGCCTATCACCTAACATTCAGATAAAATGTGATCAGTTGTATGTTAAGCCTGGCGTAACCTGCCAAAAGGAACTATATATATAGTGATGAAAGACAACAAACAATCTACAAAGTTCTAACAAAGAACTTAATGTTATACATTACATGCTGTCCCTCCACATATACCAATATATCTTACAATGATACAGAACTTAATAACAGACCTAGGCGCCCATGAGGTCTATATAATCAAAAAATATTTGTGTGGTGGTCTGCTGTCGATCACCATAGACCCTGCTTTTTGTATTTAGCTGGTAATCAGCACATGCCTGATAATAAGCCCATGTCTTGTAATAAGCCCATGTCTGGCAATAAACACATATATGGTAATAAGCCCATTTCTGGTAATAAACCCATGTCTGTAAAAAAAACTATGCCTGGTAATAAACTTTTGTCTGGTAATAAGCCCATGACTGGTAATAAGTATGTGTCTGGCAATAAGCACATATCTGGTAATAAGCCCATGTCTGTTGAAAAACCTATGTCTGGTAATAAGCCCATGCCTGGTAATACGCCCATCATCTACTGCTGTTCAAGGTGATTACCATTTCTCTCTATTTCATTGCCTTTCAATAAGTTCTTCTATTGACTTTGAGCCAAATCCTCTGTTAATCTCTTGACTTATTCTAGAATTATAGAGTAATAAGTCATTTTCTCAGACATAAAATCATGAAATGATTCAGGAAATAGCATTAGTTTCAGCACCACACATGAATGATTATAATCGAACAAACATTTTGACAAAAAATCATAAATAAATTGAGTTCTATGAAATAAATTGTCATTTCAAAACTTCTGTTTTACTTTTATATCTATTGACATGCTATTGTCAACCGTTAATGATTAAATTGTTTCGTTATTAATGTATACAATATCATTTCATTACAATATTTATGAATACTTTTAGACTTTTTTACTTTGGAGTTATCCATTTCTTACTTTCATCCCAATGTGATATTTAGAATTTAGATGTCTATATGTTTACCCCAGAATGGTAGCGATCACAATTCACTTTCCCTAAATGAAAACAAATCCAATTCCACCATTGTAAAATCAGAACTTTTCCACATCAAAAGAAATGATTGTGTTGTGATCACAGGTTTGGCTTTCAATTTGAAGTTTTTATTCCAACTTGGGAAAGGACATTGCTTACTTGTATTGGGAATGGAATCTAGGGAAATTTTAACTGACAACCGTTCATCTAGGTATGACAATTCCAAAATTATGTCTCGATATTTTTTATTAAAACAATCAACCAGATACATGTTTTATCTTCCAATATGAGGATATTAAGTAAATGTTACCAATGAAATGAGAAGTAAACAGACATAGATCACTGATCACAAGATGATGTAAACAAATTACGACAGGTGAAGAGGTAAGATACCTAAAAACCATGGGAAAAGCTGGCTATCTGTACACAGAAAGGCAGAGAGCTTTCATGACTCATAGGTATTACCATTAAGTCATTCAGGTACACTTTAGCCTTACTCAAGTCCTCCACAGCAAATGCATTTACCAGTGACAAACCTAAATATTCAGTAATAAGCCCACCTCCAAGATTGAGAGTTTCTAATCATTCAACTCACAGGTCATTCAGGTACACTTTGGCCTTACTCAAGTCCTCCACAGCAAATGCATTTACCAGTGACAAACCTAAATATTCAGTAATAAGCCCACCTCCAAGACTGAGAGTTTCTAATCATTCAACTCACAGGTCATTCAGGTACATTTTAGCCTTACTCAAGTCATCTACAACAAATGCATTTACAACTGACAAACCTAAATATTCAGTAATAAGCCCACCCTCTTGACTAAGAGTTTCCAATTATGTGACTCACAGACCATTCGGGTACACTTTAGCCTCACTCAAGTCCTGATGATGACAAATCTACATATTCATTGATTATAAGCCCAACCCCCTAGATTGTGAGTTTCAATTCATTCAGTATATATTCTAGACTTACTCAAGTCCTTAGAAGAGAAATTGCATTCCATCAATTTTACCAGATTTTATCAGTGATAAGCCTATGCCCAAAAATATGCCTTTAAGAGTTTTTTATATTACAGACTCTATCAGGCCAAATATGGACCCCAGTCATAATTCAACTACACATATTTCACAATATGGTCAAATTCCTGAAATGTACTTTACTTCTTAAAATTCCTCCCCAATTCATCAAATGGCTGTTACACAAATTTTGTATATATATTTGTATAATTGTTTTCTATAGACCAGAGAACAATATATTTCAAATTATAACCTGAAAGATAAAAAAAACAAAAAAAAAAAATTGTGTCCTGAATATTTAGTTCTACAAATTAAGTTTACTAGATATCATAAACGATTTAAGACTGGAGAACTACACATTCTTAGGTGCTACATAAACCAGTCACAGTATAAAGGATGATATTGTGGAGAAGGGATGGTATAGATTACAGATTTCAGTCATGGCTAGGCAATAATAAACATTGTTTCACTATGTAAGTAATAATCTCTCTTCTTCACTAAGCTTTACAGCCACGATACATCGCTTCATTTTTAGAAATTTTTTGGAATTCTTTCATAGTTATAACAAATATGAAAAGTATGCAAGCATGAAATCAAACAAAACAGTATTGTAACAAAGCCTTGCAAACTCAAAACATCCAATCTTCTCATCCGACTTGTTTTTTTTTCTTGCATTTGAAAGCTAACGAGACTTTTAAAAATATAGACATTCTTGATGTACATCATGGAGTCCACCCACAGATGTTAGACCTGCCAGAATAGCCGAATAATTGTTTTATATATGATGAACTCCAGAACATCTTCCATTGTTTAAAGGTTTGTAATGTACATGGATCTATGCTATACATCGTTTGTTGGTTTCATCGTCTGTGAACACCCAGGGTTATTCTGAGGTGGAGTCTCCCTGAAATTGTCCCGACTAGTGACTGAACAACGTACCACATCTTGTAGGCCTGTTGTAGGTCACCCAGAACAATAAGGGTAATTTTAGACTTTTTGATTTTATACCTAACTGATAATTAACCACATATATAAGTTAAAGGTGCCAAAAATCATCCAATCCTATATCTTTTTAATGATAATAATACTTAGGATTTTTTAATTTTTTTGT